CAGCAGTTCGAGTCCAGCCCGAGCTGAGCAGCCGCTGAGCTGCCAACAGGTAGCAGGATGGCTCAGCTAAAAAAAAAAAAAAAAAAAAAATTAACATTTTCTTTTAGATACTAAGAAAAACCAAAACATTAAAATCAGCAAATGTAGAGGTAGAAAATTATTTTACATAAAAGCATCATATGTTATGAGACTGTTCCTTTGTCATTGTCACCAAAAAGGCAGAAAATCCTATAATCTGTAACAAACTACAATTTTTAAGTAAAGATTTCTAATTGTTATAAAAGATACAGATGACTCTCATGAGGTCCACCCAAAATAAAGTGGTAAATACACTATTTATGGAATTATAAACTGCTTTACCAAGGTTTGCAGCAGAAATCAAATCAGGGTAAAATGCTGATTTCATTTAAAAATAAATAATAATCTTACTAATTTTGAAAGTTGATGCTATAATTAATCCTAGAATCAATCAGACACTTAACTGACATATTACGTACATGGATGTAAGTTCAGGATGTCAACTATTGTCTTTTGGAAATTTAGATTATTATGAAAATTTTATATTCTCTTTGCTTAATTTCATTAGGTTCCCAGCCCACATAAAATATACTATAAAATATGCATCTCCAACTGTTAAGAGTGAGGCTCTAACTGAATCTTTTAGATGAGTAACATAACCCTCTAGTGGATTCACTTCATAGGTAGTTACCTGGTTTTATAGTGTACCCTACACTAATAATGTATAGTTTTTCAGAAAACACATTTACATGTTTGACCACCTCAAATAAACTGCTAACCGTGTTGCATCAACACATCTGCAGTGTCTGCTTAGTTAATAATTACCTGCATTCAAGAAATGAAAGTCAACTACTTTTACTAAAACATTTGCATAGCATAGAAGAACTACACCAAGAAACCTTTAGCACATCCAAGGAGTATTAAAAAAAATAAAGTATATAACTGTGCAAATAAAATTAAAGGAACCCTTCAGGCAAAAAGATGTCATCACATAGAAAGTAGAGCAAAGTACATAGGAACAAATTATTAGTGCTATTACAATAAATTTGACATTAGTCAGTCAATGTGTTTAAACCATAAAAAGTTCTTGCTAACGTAATTATGGATTTTTAATGTTATGCTGATATTAAAAAGTGCTAATTCATTAAGAATTAAACTTAATATTTAAGTTTAATAATAGTTAATATCTAGAAAGTATTCTAGAAATGCAAATTTGATCTCAAGTCAGAGAAAAGAAAAGGTACACACACAAAAGAACTATGATACTTACAGGAACATAATTTAAATTAGCTACTTTCCCGATCTGATAGGAGAAAATAAGTGAGTTTACTGTATGATCAAAATAATGTTATTGACAGAAAATTTTAACTTTTGGACCTATATTGGATAATCCAACAAAAAGTGGACCCTAGGGCCAGCCGAGTGGCTCAGTTGGTTAAGAGCTTGCTGAAGAGTGCTCTGAGCAACAAGATCGCCGGTTCAATTCCCGGCCCGAGCTGAGTTGCCAGTGAGCTGCCAACAGGTGGCAGGATGGCTCAGCTTTAAAAAAAAAAAAAGTGGACCCTAACTTCCTTATTACGCAGAGCTATGAGTTTTCTATTCCCCTCTTCTTAGAACACTTTATAAATCAATAGTTTACAAGGGTCATTAATTTTTTCAATATCACTTAGGTAAATACATGTATATTTTCAAAACTCTGTAAACAGTATTAAGGAAAAATAGTAACTGTTTCATTTAGCTCTTATCTAGTACAGCAAGTCCACTTCACATAAGAGTATAAAGGAGATGTCAATACCAATGCAAAAGCAAGACTACAAACTAATGTTTCCTTTTGTGGTTTTTTTTTTTATGATCAGTTCCAAACACAGTACAGGTAAGATGGAATGAGTAAGAAAAAAAACGTATTTTATTTCCCCGTTAACACCAAGCCATATTATTCAAAATGTGTTTCAAAATACTTAACCAGATTGCCAATCCCAGCTGCTGCAACAGAAATCCATAGAGATACCATCTAGAAAGAGCAGCTACATTGCTATACACAATTTATTCACTTAGTAGTTTAGCCTCTCAATATTTAGCAATTTGTGTAAAAATTAATATTCCCATTGGTTTATAGTGACATTAATATAAATACATAATTTCAAAGTCAACATTCATTTCACTAAGACCATAAAATTTCTTAAAAGATAGCTGTGGGTTAGGGCAAAGTAATGACTGGCTGTTAGGATAGCACTGTTCCAAAATCAAATACACTGGCCGACTTGGAGAGGCATAAGGATATATACACATTCGCTATATGCTACTCTTTCCCACATTTTTGCTGAACATACTTGTCTCAGAATATGGTAAAAAATATTTCCTCAAATTTGAAAAAAAACAAATCAAGTAAGATGAATATATTTCCAGCTTCATTTCAAAATAACCATTTTTAAATGAAAAAGAAGTTCCCCATGTTTATTAACTCCCATCAAGAGATGAATTTATGTATTTTCTTTACTACTGTACAATATTTTTTACCCTATCTTAGTGCCTCACTACCAGTTTAGCAAAAAGACCTCAGTGCTTTGTTAAAGATTGCATTCATTAAACTATAAGACTGTAAAATCTGCAGTTGAATCCTTCTTAAGACATTGAATTATAACTAAGTCCAAAAAATGTATGACCATTCATCAACACCCTGGAACCTGTAAATAATTGCAAAAAACCTCACATGTGCATATAATTCAAACATAAACATTGTGGGGAGGGAGCATAAAATAAATACTATAATATTTTTCAACTCTATTTAAATGCTGCCTTGATGGTTAGAAGAAAAGATTAATATTACTAACAGAGAAAGTCAAACTATTTTGAAGACTATTTTCCAAGTAGTTAGAACAATTTCGCAAAACAAAGATAAGCAAGAGCCGAGGCCAGTACATTTTTCCTGTAGTGTAATTGCTAACATGAGGTATAATCCGTAAGCAATTAATACAATATAAATAGGTATAAGCCACCACTAAATCACAGTCTGGTGAAAAGCTTCTCAGCTAATGTGTTTGGGGAGGGAATGAAGGGAAATGAGGAGAAGGGAAGGATAGGGCAGGTTTCCAGTGGGGACACCATTTACACACCTTATCATTATCACCGTCTTGTATGTAACAGTCCACTGTTGCAGAAACAAATCCTTTCCAAGTATGCAGGTTTAAAATATACTTTATGTAGCATTAATATTATTTAACTATTACTAATGCTTCATTTGATTTATATTTGGATATACACATAATCATATATGTATATCAAAAACTATAAACAGAATTTTAAAACACACTTATCTCAGTTTTGAAAAGTTAAAGCTAAACTATGTACTACAGAATTTTCTAGAATATCTAAATTCTGGGGTAAAACCAAAGGAAAACATTACTATTTCTTTAGTAAATGGCTTGTGGGAAACCTCAAGCTTACTCATCGTTTTATAGATGGGTTTATTTGATGAGGATTGTGAACCAATGATTGTTTAGCAGCAATTTTACCAAACTGTAAATTCTTTTATTAACAGGCATTATAAACAGGTAATACTAATCTTATGTAAAAACCATGAGTGCCACACCAGTGAATAGATAGCTCATGAATAACTTAAAAAGTATTTCCCATTTTAAAAAGCAACCCTCTGCATACAAAAACCTACCTATACTAAACAAAGAGGCTATAATATGGATACATGATTGATGTGTCTAAAATGATATATATACAGTACATAATTAATGTTAATTATGTGATCAGTACATTTTTTTCTATATGATTCCCTTCATGCTTCACTTTCCCCAGAAACTGAATTCTGAACTTCCTCTTCTAAAATGGGTACAATCAGGTTATCCTTGGACATCAAATTATATTTCATCACAAATTTAGTAAACCGATGACACAAAAATGTTTCATTCTGTAGAGAGGAAGAAAAGATGTTATTTTAATTTACTATCCCAAACCAAAAAAAGCTAGACATAATATCAACATTTATTATTGTAAGAATGCATCAGGATAATTAGTAAAATATACTTACTTCATATTCATCAAATATCTGCCGGTGATGAAAATAAGCATGTGAAAATATTCTGTAAATCCTACGGCATACTGATCCTAGTTTTGCTACAGATGATTCCTTTATGCTAACCCTAGAAATAGAAAAGAAATCATTGATTCACAGAACAGGACAGATCTTAGGAACAATACATTCCAATCTCCTCAATTCACAAGTGTGAAAACTGACACCTAGGTAAAGTAAGTGACCAGTCCAAGGTCAAAGTGCTAGTAAGTTGCAAGGGCAGCAGAACCAATTCTTCATTCCTAGGCCAGTGCTCTTTCTATGTAACCACAGTGCCCAAGAAATTCCGTATTATAGTTTTGAAACTTTGTTCAAGTTTAATGTAATTAAAATACTGAAAAGGAATTAGTGTTTCTTCTATAGAACTCAATTCTATTTTTGGAGAAATAAAAATTTTTGGAGAAATAAAAATAAAAATTTTTGGAGCATATTTCTGATATTCTTTTTTTTTTAAAGTGCATATAGGCTACTGAGGCAAAACCCAGTATTTTTTTACATATTTTATATGAGCTATTTGGAATTAATGATATTTGTGGGGGGAAAATATCTCCAAATCTATCCACCTGGTAAGAAATATTTTAATAGAATAAAAGGCCAGTCACAAACCTCACCAATAATATATTACAGTATGCACAGGTTTCTTCCCAGATTTTAAAAGTCTGTAGGCAAGGATAAGGAATCTTTCAAAAACAAGCAGTCCAACTAAGGAAAGTCTGGGTTTTAGGCATGCTAAGAGGAGGCTGACTCTGACCATGACGGATTCAAGTCCGCAAGTGTGTGAATATCTCAAGTCTAAAGCACTAACGAGCGAGCCCTGGGGAATGACGCACAGCAGCAAGGACTAATCTGGACTGAACTGGTCTGTGAACTTTGGGAGCCAAGTCCTGCTACCTTTAGTTTAACCACAACCCTAATTTCAAAACGTGAATAATTTTGAACAAGTTAAATACACAACAGCTAAAAAAAAAAAAAAAAGTTTAAAGAATACAATGCATTAACCAGCAACCTAGTTTTAGTTTTAAAAACATCAATCTTTTAAATTAAATCCAAAAAGTTTAAGACCATGTTTAAAAGTTTTGTTTACCTGCTGGGAAAATATTTATTGCTATTCAGAAGGCATGCAGCACCATCAAGTGTGTGTCTAGTATAGTCTATAGCAGGACACTACAAAAGAAAAAATATAAATATGCATCACCAAAGAGCTCTACCTCCTAAATTAGGCATATTTATTATGTATGTGTCTTATTCCAAAAACCTGAGCATATTCTAAGAAAAAAAGTGCCTTACAATATTAGAAGGATTATAAAATTCAATGTTACATCAATAAATACGGCTTTATTATCCCCATGAACTATAATATCAGGTCTCTAGAAGACACATGAATCAGTCTCCTAATTTCTCATCCCCAACATTGTATCTAGAAGAAAACAGCATTTAGAGCTGGGAAGAACACCTGATAATTTAATCTAACCCTCTGATTTTACAAATGAGGAAACTGAGGCTGGTCAGTTTGCAGAGTATGCACAGGCTTTTTCCCAGATGTTAAAAATCTGTAGGCAAGGATAAGGAATCTTTCAAAACAAGCACTCCAGCTTACAAAAGATCAGAGAGATGCAAGCAAGCATGTAAATATCCCAGCTCTAAAGCATGAGGAGAGCCCTGAAGAATGACACACGGGCAGCAGGGACTACCACTGACTGATGGTCAATGATTACACTAGATCATCGTAGTTAGCAAGAAAGACTCAAAAACATGTTTATACAAGGAATATACTGATTCCTGGTCCACCGATTTATACCATTCCAACAGGCCCTAAGCCTCCTCTTCACAAAAACCTCCAGCGATCACTGCCTTCTAAGATCCTAGAAAGCATCCCTTATTATGTGCCTGGCACCCTGTTACCACTCTAGCAGCTCTCTAAAGAATTTTCTCCTTGAACCTCCTTTGAAATTTAGCATGAAATTTATATCTTTATATTTTAATAAACCTGTCTTATACTATTCCATTTGTCAGAAACAATGAAACCTATTGTCTCATGGCAAATCAGCAAACCTATTAAAGGAAAAGAAAACTGCAAAGTAATTCTCCTCACTCAGTTCTTCCAAGGGCAGTCAGGGAAAAGCATCAAAGGAAAGTAGGACTGAGAATGAACCAGGGCATGTACTTGGAGGAAAAAAAGGAACTAGAGAAAAGAATAACAATGGTTCTAATACTACCCAGTAGTTAGAATCTCAATAGAGATTGAAGCTGGTATTTAGAAATGTAAATTAATAACTACTAAATATGGTTTATAGTGCCATGGCAAGTACAGATTATCTAAACAAACAAAAAAGGTATTTTTCTGACTACACATCCATAGGAATTTATGGTTAATGGACTCATCACCTAAAAGAGAATTTACTGAAAAAACTGTCTTTCTCCATATAAATGATTACAGGTGATTTGGTCAAAAACAAATATCCCAAATCACTGTGTTTCTCATACTGGTCACTTGTATGTACCATGGCTTTTACGACCTTTAAATCAGCACTGTCCAATGAAAATATAATGCAAGCTATACATTTAGTTTTAAATTTTCTAGTAGCCTCATTAAAAAGGTAAAAAAGAAACAGGTGAATTTAATTTTAATAATGTATTTTACTTAACTCTATGTAGCCAAAATTATCATTT